TCACTGCGACTCGTCTTAATATGCGCCACCGCCAGCTGGGGTGGCAGCAACTATTGGACTTTAATGGTGGCGTGGTATTAGTTTTTGCTTCTATAATTAATTTCTGCTTAAAAATATCGGTCATTTCACAGAAAAAACTTTGAAAAGTTTTTCAGCTATACATATGTATGTATTTGCACAATTAACGATTAGTTGTAATATGATGATGGGGTAATTAGAAACTATCTAGACAATCAAATTATGCGTTGACCGGAAAAGTGCCAGAAATTTTAACAAAGTTTGCCGGCATATTGCCTTTGCCTATTATGCCTTAAATTCTTATTAGCTTTGCTTACTCCTTAGCATTTTATCTGTTTATTGATGTTGCTGTTTAGCATGGTACACAAAGTACTTTAAAAGGAACGTACAAAAACAAATCAAACCCAAAACAAAGGCTGTGGAACACTTTGTTAGCCGCCACAGCTGATTTTCACCGCTATGCATATCCACGGTGGTTTTTTTTGTGTGTGAATATTTTTCCTTCTGTGGTGGTGGTGCGAAATCGACAAGAAATTCACCTAAAACCGCAATCAAAACAAAATAAACAGTAACACCTGAACCGCCGCCCCCTGTTGCGTGCTTCCCACCGCCCATACAGATATTTATCCAAATGAGTTGGATGAAAGCAATCAGCGGTTGGCGTTTTTTCTCATCTTTTTTTAGTTTATAATCTTTTGTTTATTTGCTCGCGCATTTTGACCGATTGGCGCCAATTTTGTTGTTTACAAAGTGGGCCATAACATGCCGGCTCGGTCCCATGAGTGTTATTGGCGTATTTGTGTGGCATGCGATTAAACTTGCTTGATAACAGCGAAAAAGACAAATCGTATTTTCTTTAGCACCTATTTATCCACTTCTAAGTTGTGAGTTTTTCTTTGTTAAATAATTTCTTATTTACGTCTTCTTTTAAAACGCCTTATATCTTTGATGCTTTACTCTGACAGCTGTACTAACTTTAGTCGGTGCATTGCTTCGATTAATGTGCTTGTATGCTAAGTTCCTGTGAAGCGTTGACCGGTGAAACACTTTGAAACGGAAATGCATAAAGTGCGTTAACGTCGTCGCGCTTTAGATAAAAAAAAAAACAGCATTCAATGGATAGATCACATACCGGTCGGATAATTAACTCTTCGAACTTTGACAACCTACATACATACATACACGTACGCATTCATACATATGTATGTGTCTGGAATGTTGGAACCCTTTTCACTCAATCGTTGGATGTCCTGCAAAATAGCTCCACATACATACATACATATGTATGCTTGCATCATTCGTGGGCACCTATTTGCTAATAAAAACTTGCATCTAACTGCAGTCTGTTGCATTGAGCAGTCAGAATTGAGCGATACTGGTGAAATAGAACAGGGGATGTACATCTTTTCAACTGGATGAAAAGAGGGGCAAAAAGAAAGGAGTGTGAAGGGCTTCTCGAGCTAACAGGAGTGCAACATAAAAATTCTAATAAATAGATGGAAAGAGTGATGACAAAGTGTACTTGAGATGTGTTCTTGAATAGCTCCAGAGTACGGAGACCGGTGTTGCTCCTGCTTTAGGGTACATGCGACCATAACGTTTTCGGTATGAAACAGCAGTCTGGTAACGAAAACTCACCCACCACTAATAGGAAATACCCCTTCAAAGTTTCTCATCTGTACCTTGACAGCAGCCAAATTTACACGTGTTGCTGTGTTTTCGTGGTTGATTTACTAATATTTCGACTCCGGCACGAAAGTCCACGTAAGTGGCGAAAGCCTTTTGACTACCATTCACCTGGGATTGGCGTACGGTGAAAACACATAAAACCTCGCGTGCGCTGGTTTGGGTCCTGCCCAAGGGAAACGTAAGTGTTTTGAGCTCTACATATTTCTCTATTAAAAAAAAAACGCCTAAGTATAACTCATGTAGAGTTTAGTTAAGAGCAGAGCTGAGGCTGTAGTGAAATCCAAAGATTTAGGCCCAATGCTAAAGTTTCGGACACTGGGTTAATAGACACTATAAATCCATGAAGAGGCAATAATAATGACGATAATCATAATAATAATAATAGAGCTATGAATATTATTTTTGCGCAAATGTTTGTTTAAGAACTAAAACAAACATAGTTGAAAATAATTAAAAAACAAAAGAAACATTATATCGGGTAGGTACGGGGTTTTGTATTGGGGCCCATTCGGTGGTCCTCGAATGAGCGCCGTATTAATTTAAATCAATAGAAATATTATTAAAACACCACATTTTTGAATTTGTTATACATATGTTTGTTTTTGTAGCACCATATTTAAAAAAGAGTGCTAACCTGGAAACAGGCTTAAAAAAATCTTTTATCTCAGAGCTACATAAAAAAAAAATAAAAATAAATATAAATTTGTATTAGTCCGTGTAGCCTTTCAAACCGCAATACTTTGTAGACCCCTGTTCTTTGAATGAGTACATCAGCCTTTCAATAATTAAAATCGATATTATCGAGGGTATTCACACAGAAATAAAATCACTCGATTTCATACATATACGTACATACATAAGTACGTGGGTATACACAAAGTGGTTTCCATAATTATTATCGTTAACCCGATACTCACTATATTAAATATAATCGCTTGCAACTAATAATTATACCACGATTTTCCTAACTAGCCGCTAGAGTAGCTACAGCGCACATACATACATTCGTTTACTAAAATAATGGTTTTTGTACGTGATAAAAACTTTCTGACGAGTTTGTATGCTTGATGGAAAATATTGAATCTAAACGCCGCAGAACAGGCCCAAAATATTCAAACCGTCATATGTATGGCAAAATTTACTTAAGTAACAAACCTTTTGCCAAGTCATATGGTGACTAATATAAATTTCAAATGACTAACGAACGATATATGGAAATGCATATAGGTACACTGCTGTAGAAACGGAAACAAGAATAATTGTTCATTAGTTTTCATTGAAATTCGTATGGCTAGACTACATACACCCAGTTGGCTCGGTATGTGTATACGGCGTGAATATAAAAGCAAGACGATAAAGACGAACAAATGTGCACGAATCGAAACGAAGTGAGCGCTGAGACACACAAGCGCAGTTCTCTACGTATATGTCCGCTTATATACGGTGAATAACAGAAATGTGAGTGGGGAAAAATACACACCACTGTATAAATAGACAATGAAGTTTTGAAATTGCACGCCAGCAGCTACGTATGTACATATGTATGTATGTAGGGATGAATTTCGAAGGCGAACATCTGTATTTTCTACAGTCGCCTAAGTTATTTACTTACAGTAAACGATAAAAATCACTCGACAGTCAAGTGTATTCATACTAGCTACGAATGCACAGCGTTTTAATGAATTCTCTGCTGATAGCAATCGAAAACAGGGTGTGCGTATGTACAAAAAATGTAATTCTCGCACATATTTTGTAAATGTGGGTATCTGCATACATACTTAAATAGGTATGTATGTATATGTTAAGCGGATGAAATTGAATAAAGTGGAAAAACACAGTATGTGGAAATGAAAATGTGTATACTGAGTAAACTATGCTGTGAGAAACCCTACAACCAGTCTACAGCGAAGGGCATACGTATACATGTATGTATATGCACATTGCGGTACTAAGTTTGTATAGTGGTACAGTGGAAAAATATTTGCAGCTTAAAACAATAGGTCTTATACAGTTTTCCCACGGCACCCCAATTACGTACTTTTCTCTCTCATTCGCAATTCGCACTTCAATTACCCTTCAAATTACGTAATTCGCCATATTAAATTTTGAGAGCGAATTACCTCATTTGTTGGTAATGCAGATCCAATTACGAACAAATCACTTCCGTCTCTAATTTTAATCCGAAATTTATCGAAACCAGTTCACAAACCAACTGGCACATTTTCTGAGCACTAAAAGTTAAGTTAATAACCTTATAAATAAAATAACTTACATTTTTCATAAATTTTGTAGCGAAGACAAAAATAAACAGTTATAGAGAACTGGCAAATCGAATTAAGAATATGCTCGTGGGAATGGGGTAATTCGTGATCGTAATTGGAGGAGCGAACAAAGTAATTCGCGGTGCCGTGGGAAAGCCGTATTCGAGGTATCAAACTATCGATAGTTTTATATTTTTACCTTTATCGATGAGTAGTGATAGTTTTTCTCTAAAATGCTTAAACTATCGATACTACTAGTTGACTATCGATAGTTTAACATCTCCAGCACAACCGATTTTATTCATAACTTCTCCATTTTGTGTAGCTGCGCGTCGGTTTGGTAAGTTTGCAAATGTTTTATTATAGGTGATACTATTAGCGACAAATTTGACAGCCATTGAAAGCCCCGGTTATCTTTAACAGGCAGTGTAGAAGTTGGGGAGCAGCCAACTTTTTCCTGCAAAATCGTATCATGTGAACACTGTTTACCGGAAAACATGCAAAGCAACAACACAAACTCGGCTATTTATCCGAGTTCAGCCACAGGTCGGTTAAAAAATATGCGGCCTGCCGCGAAGTGTTGTTAAAGTACTAAGGCTGCTTTTGTGTATAGCTAAATGCAAATTTTAACCCAGTTGGACTTTCCTTTGGCGCTGGGTTATAAAGAAACGAAGGTACTGAATAAGATAAGAAAATGCCAACACTTAACAACACTACAAATCTGGCAAGTGCCTTGTCATCGATTAATTTGAAGAGCGCATGCTTCATTTTCGCGCAAAGGTGCCCTCTAACGACAATTCTACGACATGAAAGTAGGATTAACGCAAGAATGAAAAGATGTTTTCGTGTACGTGAATCATAAGATACGGTTATTATGGTATATTTGTTTATGGTAAGTATTATAGCTATTGAGTTTATTTAGTAAAAATACGCAATGCATATTGTGGACGGACCCTAAAGCGATAGAGCGTGACAAAAAAAATGAACGGTTATTTATATTCAGCGTTTACGTAAAATTTACGTATCTCATTATTCTAGGGTTAAGTACGACGTACGACGTAAAAACCGATTAGGGATATTTATACCGGGCAACAGATTCCTGCTTATGACAGCCAACCCCTCTCACCCAGCTTCTCCTACACCACTACAAGAGGGTTGCCGATTGAGTGCACGCGAGTTGTTAGCTGTTTTATCGATTTATAAACAGTTAAAATTCCAGATACCGCAGTTGCAGGAGTTGAAGCAGTGGCTATCAGCGTAATCAACTTTTTCAACCGCCAATTTAATTTGTGATAAAAGCAAAGAAAAACGATTTAAATGTGAATGAATAAAGTACGAAATTTAATTAAAATCGCAACAAAAAATCGTCTTCGATTTAGGGAACTTAGTTAGTAGGAAACGCACACATACACGAGAAACATAGTTGTGGCAGAAACGAAGCAACGTGTAGTCATAAAAACCGCGCAAAGTAAATCCAGAAATTCCTTAACTCTATTAGCGGGGAGAAGGTAAGTGGATGACGATTCTGAGGAATCTTAATTGAAAGTTAAGGCATATATTTTATTTTAGTTTTGATTTCGTCGAAATATGCATAAATGAAATTAATTTTGCTCATATATACATTCATACATCTGTCTGTATGTATGTGTGCATACCCAGCCAGCAAAAAATCTGAAAATCGATCCGGAAAGGAAAAAAAAGTGGATGAAGTGGGGATTTTGTCCGTTTACCGATTCTATTTTCGGATACTTTGACGACGATCCGTTTTCCCACTAAAGTGTGCGGCAGCAAAGAATGCAAATCTATAAGAGGAGACAACACGTTATAATTGTAGCGAGTGTGAATATCAGGAGCATGCCTTCTCTTTCCATCCAATCACAAAATGTATTTGGGCAAAAGATAAAGCACGCTCCTGATGTTCCCACTCGTTACAATTATAACGTGTTGTCTCTTCATATAGATTTACGTTCTTTGGTGGCAGAGACGTATATACAGACAAGTACCGAAAATTGTTTGTGAAACGGATACGGCACGGAATTTTTCCTTCTGCACTTCACAGATACTTTTTCATGGTTCAAAACAAATAAAATAAAATTAAGGAAGCGCCTGACGGAATTCGAAATCCGGCACCTTCTGGAAGCTAACAAATAGCGGCACGCTCAGCCACTGCCGACTACGCATATATGCTTTCAAATGTTTAGCTTGAACAAATAAAATACAATTATTGCTGTCAAATACAATCATCTTTTTCGAACGTTTCGAACGTTTTCTGGATACGAAAATCAATGATAACTGTAGTCGTTTTCTATTCGTTTCCGAATACAAAAACCACCCTTGTTTTCTGAACGTTCTTAGCTACGTAAAGTAATGAAAAAGTGGAGTAGTTTTCTATTCGTTTCCGGATACGGAAAATTGTACTAGATTGCATTGTCGGAAAAATTTACGTTTCTCTGCTGGCTGGGTAATTACCGTAAAATTATATACATACAAACGTATGTACTTACAACTACATATGCATATATGTACATGGTAACGTATGTATGTACATAAAAATATTCCATAAGTTTGTTTTTGCGATTTTTTTGGACTTTACTATAACACTGGCACCGAAACTGCTGTTTTGGCATCTAACCGGTTGTCTTCACGTGCTGGAAAATCTCGCTGGCCTCAAAAGCTCGAACCTTCTTTTTTGGCGATATTTAACAAATGAAAAAGTATGCTGTCAAATGCCCAGTAAGTGCTCATTTACACACGACGATTTTTGTTGCCGCAACTCGACGTTTGTAGGAGAGAGCGGGACGAGGAAAGGAGAGGGGCACCGAGTTGCTCGTGCTCGGGCAACACGCTTTGTGCTCTCGTTCGCCTGTGTAAATTGAACCGCTGTTCACAGCTGACAACAACAATTGCATACACATAAATCTCCGTGTGTAAATGAAACGAGCAACACCAAAAGGGAATGTGAAAAATCGCGGCGACAAAAGTTTTCGTGTATAAACGCAGTCTATACAAAACTCTATCTCGCTTGCTAGAGAAAAGAGCAGAACGCATGCGAGATTTGTAAGCATGTGAAGACGGCCGGTTAATGCAAAAAATCGGTTAGTTCCCCACAGTTTGAGAGCCGTTGAATGTTTAAAGTTATCTATTGTGAACGTTCCGAGATAGCCAACCAGTGTTGCCGTTTTAACCATTTGGTGGTTGGATATAGCCACCGCCTTCTTTTTATGTCACCAAAATTTATTTTTTGCCACCAGCCTCTTTTTTAGCCACATTTACCGCCCTATTCCCACAAGACTGACAAAACTCAGCGGCTGACTATTACCTTTAATACTGCGCCTAATACTATGCCGCAAATTTATTTTAAACTCTCGTATGGTGACAATTGTCAGTGTTGTTGTTATGACGTACTGAGAACGCGACAACTGAGAAACAACCTCATGTTTATACATATTGTGTTTTAGGCGCAATAATTGTGACTGTAGTCATACGATGAATTTTGTCAGTGTTGTGGGAATAGGGCGGTAAATGATCAAAATTAAAAATTTTTCCATCATCCATCTGAAAAAAGTATGAAACTCCTAACTCACTTCAGCAATAAAATGTACATATATATGTATCATTACTCTTCCTCGTTGAGAAGCGCTCCATATTCAATGCCGTTGCCGAGTATGATTTTGATCTCGCTTGAAAAAATGTACAAGAAAACACGAACACAAATTTTTAGTATTTCTATGCTTATTTTAAATATTTTCCAAAGATATTTTTTAAAACATTTTTAGACCGATACCGGTATGTATGTACTGAAATATAGTTTTTAGCCAAAAGCAAAATTTTAAGCCATTTTTAATCGAATCTGGCCACCACTAAAAATACAAATTAGCAATCAAGCACAATAAGGTTTACTATTGTGACTCATTTTTGACAAATATCCCTACCTTGTTCAGGAAAAAATCCCAATAACCGAAGTTGTTAGAAGCCGCTTGATAGAAGCTGCCACAGCACCTTTCCTCTTGCTCTTGCACAAACTTTTTCTCTTTCCACAACAACAAGTTTGCCATTTGCCGCAGAGCAGATTACCGCGAAAAGCCGCGCAAACAACACGTTGACGGGAAGATATTTTGTGAAAATCGCATTGCTAAATATATTCTGAAAAGTACCATAAAGGAATTTTTATCTGCTCTGTTTTTTAAATTATTGTTTCTGAAAGAAAATTCAATAAAACATTTCGAGAAAACATAGTTTTCATTGAGAAATTTGTCGAGTGCGTGAAAGGTAACCAAAATTTTGGAGGAAAAAAATCGAATACCAGAAAAAATAAGTGCAGAAAAACAAAGGAAAAGCATAAAATAAACGCTGGTAGCAGGAAGCTAACACAAGTAGCAGAAATTGTACAGGTAAGTTGAAAATTTAGCGTTCCCAATCTGAAGAAAAACTGAAAATTTGTATGGAATGTCGTTTGAGGAAAAATCCTAGGAAATTGCTTATGCGGGAGGCGGCTGGTGCGGCAATGTAGCGCATTGAAGGTAGTGAAGAATTTGTTGTTGTGGCTGTTTCTTCGCACAGGCAAGCGGGTGGGGGTGGGTGACCAACAGGCTTTGTTGTTATACGAAGGTAGCTTGTACAGTTTTGGGGGAGGCGATATTTTCAATGAGGCACCCAACCAGCAGGTGGTACACTCATGATTTTGCAAATTATTTCACCCATTTACCCGTGATTTCATAATTAACTGCAACGTGAATGTATAAGAATGTGTATACCGGGAAAAATTATTTAAATGTGGTTGATTGGACGCGTTTTATCAATCATTTTTATTTATTAAAAGGAATACATATTCGATTTTGATATGGTACATGCGAGGTATGCGGATTTATCATAGCCAAATAACTCATAGATGACTCGTGCAGTAATGTGACAACCATTCATATTAGCTTTAATGTACCGAATTCCAGTTTACTTTTTGCCTAAGCTCGTCTAGCGGAAGCAAAGAAGCCAAAAACAGCAAGAAGTTTAAAATCCAGTCGCATTTTTTGGTCGCTCAAAAATTTTAGCTTGGCTTTCAATCGATTACCGCTTTTATATTTTGTACATTTATGTATGTATATGTTCATGTGCGTATAAATATCTGGTGGTTGTTCTGCTAAACCATCGCCTAGGTTGGTTGTTTGTCGACTATGTATAATTTACATATTGGTTTAAATATACTGACGTAATATTTGTTAAAATAAACTGTTATTGGCTAAATTGTTAATATATGGAAAGGCTCATCTGTCGTTTCATAAATTATTGTTAATTTCATTTGGTCGGGTTTCTGCATTCTGCTATTTAACCGTTTTTCTTAGTAACTGCCGTATTTAACTTCGGTATTTCTCAATATAATTCATAGAAACTTTTTTTTACCAGATTTATAAAGAAAATTTAATTTAAAAATGGATGCGTGCCTACAATGAGTTTTAATTACGAAAGAACATACTAGAATGAAGAGGATTTTCGAATAAGTTTATTGAAAACAAATCATAGAATAAAGTAGTTTTAATTTAATAAATTTACCTACCGTTGCAGGCAACATAGTAAGCTGCTAAATGGGGGCATAACTTTTTAAGTAGCGTTGCATGTAGGTGGCTTAACCACGCACAGTCACATCTTTAGTGCTCGTTTACTCCCACGAAGCAGTGCTGAGGTAATGACGTGCTCCATATAAACTTTTGGTAGTTATACGGTGTTTACATGAGGCGATTTTATTGACAAATTTTAGCTGAAAGCCAAAATCGCCTGGTGCGAACGGCCTTTCAACTAATCCAACTTTTCATTCAACTAATCGCCTCTAAAGTTGCCTGAAAAATCGCCTCATGTAAACACCATATAAATAAACTTCAATTCTAGAGGTATCTTAACTGCATTTTCATATGGACAATTGAATTTTTAATCAAATATTAAGTAAAAAGGATAATTATCAACTATAATACAAATTCTCATAAAAAGTTTTAACACAATACTAAAAACATATGAAATGGAACTCCTTAGGCACGCTTTCAAACATAATTGACTTTGAAAAGACTGTTCCCTTTTAGCTTCAAAAAGGCAACACATTGCATGCAAACAATAGCTTTAAAATCAGACATGGGCTGCACAGCTTAAGCTTTACATTAGGGCTATTCGCGATTCGGTGCATAAGAGCTGACAAATTTATGCAATTGCAGAAATATGCCATGGATTGTGAGCGACCTTTATTAAACTGTCATGGTAAAGCTTTTGCAAAACACTTTTTGTGCCTCAGCTTTGGTTTTGTTTATGAATGCAATGCATAGCATATTTATGCTATGGATTTTCGGTATTGCAAATTTGCCAAGCCATGACAAATGCAAATGCGTGTATTTTGTTTGTGTATTGCAAATAATTTGCAATACAAATTTGCAATGCAATGATGCTAGGCCATTTGCACCGGATCGCGAATAGCCCTATTGCATCGGACAATTTTGCTCACATGCACATATATATTTATAGTACAAAAAGAAAACGGCTATTGTAAAATTGTACAAAAACAATTTTGAGAAATTTCACACTATAATTAACTGACATTTCATAGGTGAGTACAGCCAAATGCAACAAGGCAATAGGTTTGTTCGGCGAAAATCCAGCAAGAATTATCCAACACTCCAAATATCAGAGAGTAAGCAAAAATTCTCTCTCATATTGAGAAACTTGCAAATTTCTGCACGAACGCAAATTTGCAGGAATTCGCAAGTTTGCCTGCCAGGTGGTGTCCACGGTTGCATTTCAAACATAATAAATTTTTATAGAATTTTTGAAATTCTTTCAGACAGACAGGATATACGTATATTTCATGTTGTTTTGACTTTCTTTAACATACATTTCAAACTCTATCGTACTAGCTGTCGGGTTTCTTAATTCGGCTCTGTTTGCATTTGCATTCCGATTGCGAATAAAATTTTTTTCAGCCGAATTAAGTTCAAATCATTGCATTTACTTCCTTTTTTCATAAAAAAATCGCTCGTGTTTATAAATTACAAATTATCGTAGACAAAAATGCAACCATGTGCCACAATCATATGTTTTTCGTGATTGCAAATTCTTGCTGGCTAAAATTTTTCCAGCCAGAATTTGCAACTTCTCTCTGGAGAACTCTACCTTTGCGCTCTCAGTTTTTGGAGAATATTTTGGTCTGCACGAACGCGAATTAGGCGAAAATTATCATAATTCGTACAAATTCGTACAAATTTTTTGCTCGACGAACAAACTTAATACGTATGTACATATCGTCGTTTAAAGTACAAAACCGCGTATCGTCGTTATTCTGCAAAATCGCGTAACTGACATTTGCAGCCAAAAATTGGATCCTGAAATATACTTGCCAGATCTGTGATTGCTTTATAAAAAAGAGAACCATTTTGAAATATGAGTGTTTTTACTATCTAGAAATTAATTTATGCAACCTCACATACGCGGTTTTGCATTATCTTAATATGCGCTTTTGCATTTTGTTGATACGAGGTTTTGTACTTTAAACGACAATATGTAGCTGCAGCCAAGGGGAAAAAGCTAAGCAAAAAAAAAGCGATAACAAAAGCTGTCAGAGAAATGAGGGCGCTAAAAACTGGCGCGTCTTTTGTTTTACTTATATTTGAATGAATTTTTATACCTATTAACCTTTTTTTTTGTTTTTGGCTCTTAACGTATTAGTGTTTTGGCAGTGTCTATTCACACGCGCCACGGTAACTTTTACCGTAGGTCGTGATTGTCGAAATGCAAGAATTACTGTCTTTTTAAGCAAAAATTACTATGGATCTGGGGTTGATATATGTTTTGAACAAACTTTAATTTAAAATCCTCCGATTTTAGAGGTAAATTTGTTAACGTTGGAACGCTGGAGACTCCTATTTTCAAAATTACCCACTTCTAGGTGCAGGAATATTAAAAATAGTGTTTACCTTTCTATGTAGGTTTAATTTTAAGAATAAATTCGTTAGCATTAGACACTACAATTATGCGTTGGCCAATTCACGAATTCATTTCATGAATTTGGGTTAAATGTGGCTGCATAAACACAATTTCATGACTTCAATTATACACGAAAATTAACCATAAATTTCATGAACTTGTTTGGTGGGGTATGACATTTTTAGATTCAAAAGCATATAGTGGCATAACCATGATTTAAAACACATGAAAAGTTACGTGGATTTATCTTCTTTCCTTCTCGACTGCGTTAAGTATTGTTAAGGAACCCTGCAGATAGACCAAAACTTCGCCTTTCGTATCCCCACTGGGTTCCTCCCAATGATATTGAAACAATAACTGCACGGTTATGCCGCTATGCTCCAGGAAATGCTTGGTGGTATTTCACTGACCGAATTACCTAAATTCAGCATAATGGAGAAAGCTAAATATGTTGTACATATTAAATTTGTAGGAAGAGTTCGGACACCATCTACAAATACCACTGCGACGACAACCACAAGCTTCACTCGCCACTTACAAATGTTACCTAGATTGAACTTGCGCGAGAAAAAGGGTAAAGGATTCTTTCAGATTTTCTGGGCCCAAAGTTGGAGGAGCCAGATTATCATAGTATAATAAAAGAAAAACGTATTTAGGTGGAAATAGTTCCTACATCACCATACCGCAGAAATTAGGTCGCATTGGAAATAGTTCCTACATCACCATACCGCAGAAATTAGGTCGCATGTTCATTAATGCCATGGGCGACTCGGAAGTTATATCGGGCCAAGGAGCATCATCCCAACTTAACCACAAATACCAATACCAGCCTATTAAGAAACAAAATGAAAATACAACTCGCAGAATTTCTTATTATAACAACACTGTGGCACGCCAAGCAACATTTAAATAAATATTTTTCATTGTCAGGGTGAAAGTCGGTCTAAAATTTGTTAGAATTCAAAATGTACAGCATAAAAACGTTGCATATTGCACGGCGCCATGCCATGGCTGCGCGAGAGATAGCAACTTAAATGCTTACTCTTTCTTTTTTTGCTTGTTCATAACAATTTTTCCGCTTTCAACTCCATTCAATTACGCGCATCTCTGCCAGCAGCTTCCGTCCGTTGCATTGTCTATTCAAAGGCGATTTGTCGCGCTTTTGCTGCTTGGGTGCGCCGCGCCTACTAATACAATTAACCTGCCATTCAATTGCAAAGACTACAATAATAAAAACAAAATAATTACAATACCAAAACCGTCGCCACAATTGTTTTTTGTTGTACTGTTAACTTTTGTTCTTACCTTGCGACGTTTCTTCGCTGTTTGGTGCCCTTACAGCGCAGCGCGCACGCCATTGTCACTTTCATTATCAATTGTGCGCCTCGCTAATTGCCTCCATCTAATCGAATTGCTGGCTGCCTTACTGTCGCTCGTTAGCCATCGGTTTTAGTTTTTGTTTGCCCTTACTTGCCCATGAATGGGGCCTCTGCTATTGCGGCCATATGCTGACAATTGCTGACACGCGCATTTATGGTTAATTCATTATTATTTTAGCTTAGCGGCGGTATTTCATGGTACACATTTTGCTTTTGCCTTTGCTTTAATGTGCCGTTTGCCTGCCACATTATCTACCTTTTTTTTATGTGTTATTACTACATGGAAATGCCAGCGCGAATCAACAGTGGTTGAAGCTTAAAATGTAGCGGGCAGCTAGGCGCAGGTGAATTGCTGTTCCATTCATGGAATAAATTTTTTCTAAGTCTGCCGGCAAAGTGCGGAATTTTAATATCAAATTATATGAAAGTATTAGATTCTTTAAGCGAGCCGAAAGGTGTGGTTTTCCATCCCTAGAATTTGAAAGTGTGTAAAAAAAAGAAATGCCATGCCGGAAGCATTTTCATTTTCCCTTTTATAAACTTGGTTTTTTCTTCTGACCCATTTAAAGTGCACAAATAAAAAGCCGCATATTCATTCGCCTACTCATTCTGATTGTGCATTAATTCAATGCACAATAAGAATTTGGTTTGTCACTTCCAGTATTTCGCTCCGGCGCCTCAACTGGCGGTATTGGTTCGTGGAAGTATACGTTTTGCATAAGTATTTGTATGTCATGAATTTTCTACAGCGCCTAAAAGTATGCCAATATACGTTTTGCATAGTTGATATTGGTTTATGTACATTTTTCAAACTATAAAATCACAAATCATTTCAATTTGCACTAATTTACACTTGCGTTTAAAATTTTCCGTTGTTTGCGTAACAGCGCCTAAAATTATTCAACATAAATTGCCAGGTTTCATTTTTACCTTAACTTTATGTTTTGCGTATTTACTGATTCGTATAGCGTGCTATTAATGGTTTAACGTATTTATGGTGGGTTTCTGCATTTTTTTTGAAAATTTATACATAACTTTTTTTTTTTAATTTTCACTTTAAATTTTACTCCGTCCTAATTTTTATAAATATATATACATATATTTTTCAGATTCCAGGAGTTTGGTCGCCTTTTTTCTTCGTTATTCAATTCACCGTTAGTTTCGTAGTGCTCTTTTGCGAAATAAAATCGAAATTGCGCCGAAAAGTATACCACAAATTACTTATACATGTACCGCATGCATACAAATTTCAGCTCCTTGCAGTATGAAACTTTTTATGGGCACTCTTCAACTTCGGGCTAAATCGTATCAAATTCACTAGCTAATCAATGAAAAAGAAAGCGCATTTGAAAACTTTTTTAATATTTTAATATGCCTACGGCCATATTAAATTTTCCAAGTGCACCTAAAAGTAGACTAGCAGCTTTTACACACACCATTGCAAGCGAGCAGAAAATGAAAGAATTAAAAAAAATAAAAGCATGCAATCAACGGCATAACCACACTTTTAACTCACTCGCGCTGTTATTTTTTGTAGACATGAACAAAAAAAAGCTTTAAAAATTGGGATTCCACTGCATTGTGCGCCTGAATGTATGCTACACCAGAAGCAGAAAAACACAAATTCGCGTGTCTAAATGCCATTTACCGTTGTTTAATTTTCTTTTCATTACTTCAAAAAGTATGCTAGAAATCAAATAGTTTTGAAAATGAACTGTAAGTGATACAGTGTAATGTAAAAGTATGTAGACGGTGAGAAATAGAATGACAAAGGTCTGCGTGCATTTATATTCGTTGGCAAAGTTGTGCCAAGTGTCATTGTGTGTCATTTTGCAAACAGTGTTTGTGGTTCTTACATATTTACCTTTATTGCTTCACAGGACTTGCGGTATATGTATTTGTAGGTGATTATTGTGGGTTTTATCGCGCGCGATTGTGCAGTATTTTCACATGTGCAAAGTACAAGCTATTACGGTTGCTTATGCTGTTTTGTAGTCACGTCTTCTATCAGCATTGATTTCTTAATAGTTCGATGAAACTGTAGGCCTGTTTGCGTGTTTATAACCATAACTTTTTTATGTTATTTGCTAAAATATCAAATAAAATTTAACTACAAACTCATTTCGAAGTTTTTGAGACTGATTTAATAATTTTTAATGTTTCTATAGTTTATTTGCAGATTTATTGCTGATTTTTATTGAAGAAACAAACAAAAACCACAAACACATACACACAAAATGTCAGATCGCAAAGCAGTGATTAAAAATGCCGATATGAGCGAAGAAATGCAGCAGGATGCTGTTGATTGTGCGACACAGGCATTGGAAAAGTACAACATTGAGAAGGTGAGTTCAGATTTGTTTTGATTTTACTATGTACAAGATTTATAAACAAAAGATATCAACGACAGATTTTAATTCGAAAGAAAAATATATTATTGGAACTATTTTAAATTGTAAAAAGCCACAGAAATCTGGAAAGTTTTACTGTATTACCCAACAATTTGGGTTTTCCAAATATTAGCGGTATTTGCCGCAATATATATATATATATATATATTGTTATCATGAGAACTACTTGACACTAAATAAATAACCCAAATTAGTATTTTGCGGTATTGCATTTTTTTTTTTGTTAGAAACCAGCTATATTTGTATCTTTAAAGTTCTATATCTTTGATAACAGTTATTCAATGGAGGCAATCCAGAAAATATTGACGAAAAAATGTTACCTTAGAAAATGAAAATGCTCTTGACATATACACATTTATTTCTAAATACATGCCTTTACGAGCCTTAGCAAGTCTTTTGCTCTTCAACTTCAGCTATTTATTTTCACTTTTGATACGATCGCGTTTAAAGTTCTGAAAGATTATAGACGAAAATTTAAAGAATTTGTTAGGTGCTTCATGTGTTGCCCGACCAAATTGCCCTAAGCAAGTAAACTCCAACTCAAGTTGCGTTTGTTTATTTTCTTGTGCACAATTTTCATATTACGATGAACATTTCGCTTATTTGTGGCACAAACATAAATGGAAATGAGTTTGTTTTCTTGTATTTCGCAAACTATTTGAATTTTTTCATCCTCTTTCATCTAAATTTTTGGCAGCTGACTACAAATATTCAACTTAACAGCTGATAGTTTAAACTCGGTTTAACCTAGCCAGATTGGGCGTTTAAACTTAGTTTAAACTACGTTTAAATTTGACTGAAAAACTGCACGCTGAGTTTTAAACTTAGTTTAAACAACAAACAGAGTTAAACTCGTAGTGAAAAACTGGTCATAAGGATTCAATCTACCCTCGCTTAACACAAACTTCTTTTGCGCCAAATATTTCACACCCCAAAGCAGCAGCGCATTGAAGAAAACTTACACAAGCAAGTCGCTAAACTGCTTGTTGTTATCGCATTTTTTTTTTGCCAACACTTATCTATGAAGCAGATAAAAAGTTAGCTGCTGCGCTTTTACTTACTTGCGTTCCATTACTTACGTAGCAGATATGTAAGTGGGAAAGAAACCATGAAATTTGTTGTTAAACGTTGCTAAGCTTATTGCAAAGAAATCAGCGTAGAAGAGTTTACTTTGCGAAAGCAAGACAAAAAAAAAAGTAAAGAACAAACGCAAGTAAAACAAAAATAATAAATAAAGTTAAAAAGTGCACGTGAAGGACACTAGAATCTGTACAAAAACAACAAATAACAAATAAAAAAATGTCGAATTCAACTCGTTAAGTCGTTGATCCTTTGCGCTTTCGTGTGATTTTTTTGTTTGTTATTAAGTTTTATGCTGGTTTTCACACCGCATTTGATACGCTTGTGAAATTTGCCAACTCGTAACAATTTTCTTGCATTCAAGTTTTTTTTTTGTGCTGCTAGTCTTTTCTTTTCGGTTAGCGCCCTTTCTTGAGCAACCCTTATTTATGTTTCTTCGTAGTATGTCAGGCAAATATAACCCGTCGTAGTGAGGTGGTTTTCCCATTTTTTTCTTTCTGACGAGTAAATATTTTATTCAATGTCGCATTCAACTTCAACCCAGAAGGAATGCACTTTTAACATTGTGTTTTTTTTTTTTGTTTTTAGTTGTTGAAGTACGTAGTTACAATGCAAAAAAGTCCTCTACGAAAGCATTCCAAGCGCATATTTTAAAATAACCCAGAAGATAATTTAGGTAGGCCTTCTTAAGTAAAGCCATTCTAAGAGGCCTACCCAAGAAGGGCTTCCTTGCATGCCTTCTAGAAGGGCTTATCCATTTACATTTTACGCGAATGCATAAATTTATATTAGTTAGCATTACAAATGAATTTCAATAACATTTTAAGCCGCAATAACACATGTTTGATA